AATGCTTTTTAAAGGTATACACACCGTCTTATCTCTACTCACAGAGAGACCTACGTCTCTTTCCTATTCAATCACTCTCCTTATACATTCTATACCCTTTCTTTCAATAGCATCTGTACGCATATCTTCAATCAAAACCAAGTCGTCAGCATAAGCGACATTTTAAATCCACTCTCTCCTCTAACGTACGCAGTTCATTCATTACTAGGTTCCACACCACAAGTTTCAAACCTTGCGGGCACCCCCCTCTCAGCCATTCTACTTATATACTCGCTTTTCTCAAACATGTATATCATTCTCTGAAATAACTGAGCCACAGTCCCAGCTCCTCACTTCGCCTCCAAGACAAATTATCAAAAGCGCTTTGGAAGTCTATAAACACACCCATCACGTACTTCCTCTCTCATTCATACTCTTTCACTTCACGCATCCTCAGTCGACTTCCCTTTACGAAAGTCGTTCAAGGACTTTCCCAAGATTAGGGAGAAGCGATATAAGTCTATACGATTCCGGATTATATCTAACTTTGTCCGGGGACTTAAGCAGCACCACTACGTCCGCTCGCTTCCATTTATTCGGGAAACATTTTTTTTTCAAACATATATCGTACATTTCCTTCATCCATCACGGGTATCGCGCGCCACACTTTTCTGATCATCTCCACACTTATTCCATTCATACCAGACTTACACGCTCTAACCGCCTTCTCCATTTCATCTCATTCAGACATTCTATACTCATCATTATTTTCATCTCTCACTTCATCTATCATAGGCCGCATTTTGATGGCTGCAGCTTTAGGTTCGCTCTTCTAAGCGTTCCGCTAAGTTGTTAAAACTTATCGCGGTGCTCGGCAAAGGAACGTGCATAAATGACGATATCGTCGAGATACACGAGCAGCTCGGTGCCCTGAAGGCCTCACAGTACATTGTCCATTAAGCGTTGGAATGTAGCGGGGGCGTTACAGAGCTCGAATGGCATGCGTGCATATTCGTAGTATCCATAAAGTGTTGAGAACGCCGTTTTTTCCGCGTCCCCAGGTTCCATCGCTATTTGATGGAAACCATTTGTCACATCAAAGACACTAAAATATTTGGCATTGCCCAATTGATCTAAAATCTCCAGAATACTGGGAAGTGGATAGGCGTTCGGGATAGATTTTTCGTTCAAGGCGCGGTAATCTATCACCATTCGCCAGCGTTTGTTATCTTGATCATCCGGTTTCTTAGGCACGATCCACAACGGATGGGAAAAGAATATAATACTTAAAAACATTAATGTAATTTATTAAAACAAGGTACGCAAAGGTGAAGTTTGTTTGTACGTTAATTACAGAAGGTTGTAACTTTTTGCATTAAATTCTTCGCCATCTTTGAACCTAACATTTGTGAATTTGTATCATAACATTCTGTGCAGTATCTCCTAACTTCATGCGCACTGCCTTCCTTTTTTTCCAAGTGATGCCGAGGTTCTGTACGTGTGTTGATTTGTTCGTCCTTCTTCTGCGTAAGTGCCTCAATCAATTTTTTACGATATGTTGTGATGCACATCTTTTGGCCTGCTTGATTCTTGATATATAAAGAACGAATTCACAACAGCAGTGTTCAGTAAAAATTCGAATCCTAATTTTCAGTACCGCTTCATTGACTTCCGTAACGGGTTATTGTATGCAGCCGTTTGATCTGACAGGTTAATAGACTTTTTTCTCGCATTATAGTCTATTTTTGGCTTACCTACGATTTTTGTCTTTGTTCGAATGGTTTCCATTTCTATCGAATGTTTGGTAGAAAGTAACAGAACGTCACGCTTTTCTTTCCATTTCAAAAGTGTGATCCCTTCTTTTTTCTTTCTTGTGCGGTGTGTAATGTAGCGCGAACGAAACGGCAAGTAAAACAGGCTGGGCGTTTAACGTGCTAAGGTGCAACAGGTTAAGAAGGATAATAGAAGCGAAGCAGAATGAAAGGGTCATCCCCGCGGGACCTGGAAGCCGTTCAGGTAAAATTCTTATTGGTTAGAAGACGCATTCAGGCGCCGATCCCCTCCACTCCTAACCTGACGTTGTTCCCCCACCACTCTGTCTCTCTCTCTGGCTCGGACGCTCAGCCGAAGCAATGCTCCAAGTCATTTCCTTCCGAGTAGTTGTTGAGTGTAGTTGCAGTGCGATAAAAGTCACAGTGTTGTGAAAATCCTTCGCGCTCTCCTAGTGGCGTGCTTGATCAATTTCTCATGTATTCTTTTCTCTCGCACAACGCAAAATGAAACTGTCAGTGCCATCAGAGGTAGTTTGAACGCATTCTCGTATTGACATTATATTAGTGAAAGGAAATCGGCTGATACTTCCTCTCTCATGAAGTTCACGCACGTTTACGTAATTGATACTTCCTGCCTTCGCGTCGTGCTCGTGACATCTATCGGATTGCTCGAGCGCGCAATTGAGAGTGCTGTGCAGCTGTGTCTGTGTTGCTGAAGGATAGGAGCCGTGTAAGAGCACGGGATACAAGAACTAACAACTCGCGAATACTGGACGCAAGTAGGAACTGTAAGAGTACGTGAAGTTGGAACAATCAACTAGGAATATGAGAGAATAGTAAGTATATTCTTAAGAAATACGAAATACATTTGACTTAATTTAAGAGATTGAATTGCGTCGGTTTCTGCTCTCGCTTCGAGACACAGCAGGTCTCGAGCAACAGGTGGCGAAAGTATCGTACCTATGCGAGAAATACCGGGCCAATTTGACGAATTTGCTAAGGTTTGGGAAACACCAAACTAAGAATGATATTTACAAAATTCAAAAAGCAGCATATTACGAAATAAAGAAAGAATAAAGTAATGTCAATTGTATTTCAATATTTGTAGAAAATATCATACGAATAACATCAATACAAAACAATATGAAAAACATGGAAATGAGTTTCTCTTCTAAAAACAATATTTGCACATAAGAATAATCATCGTTTAATCACAGCTTTATGTAGATCACGTAGTATGAAGTATAAATATTACATTTTCAATCATTTCGAACAAAATAACTAATAGCGGACCTTAAAACTAAAAAATAACTCCATGATGCAGTTAGACGGATTTGCTATAAAACAAGTGATTCGTGTAGCTAGTATAATTTATTTAGCATTGATGCTTACTGATGCATACGCTGTGTAACCCTTTATTATAATGATTACAAATTGTGAGTGATCTTCGCACAGGGCCACCATCCTTCCTACTACAAGCAACGCAAACTTTGTCCCTTTTTTCAGGAAGTTTACGAATACCTGGGACTGCTATATTGATGTTTCGCCCAATGATCTTTCCGGATTCATCCTCTTTTCTGCCATCCATTCTATCGTTATCGATTGAATGTTATTGCTTATGAATTCCAGTCGAGTCATAATTTTCTCTTCTGTATTCATTTGGTACAAGATATGTGCATTCAAAACCATTCGTGAAAAAATGGAAAAAACAACTTTTTTCCAAAATTTCAAAGTTCTTCTCTCGTCCAAATAAGCGCAAAGCGTCATATCTGAGACGTCGATACCTCCATAAGTTTATTGTAATCGTCTATGATTACTGGTTTTTCGATTCCTTCTTTGAATTGCAATTCTTTTATTTGCGGCTATTCCATGTGTTTTGATAAAAGTAACACATTTTTTTTTCTGTGATTTTTTTCTCTCTATATGCTAATAATAATATTTCCCGATTTCGGAAATACTTATATTCGCCCACTTGTAATTTCTGTTTGAGATGCGGTGCAATATATTTTCTGTTGCTGCGTATTGTACCGGTTAAAAATGTGTGTTTCTCAAACAGAAATCTTGCTAATGTAATGTTTGTAAAAAAATTGTCGGCTACTATGTGGTATCCTTTCATAAAGTAATTACCCATGTTCAGTAATTTGTGTATTACAACATGAGCAAGATCTTTTTCTTTTATTTCAACTTTGTCACGTTGATCCTAGGCTCCCCGATAGCAAAAAAATGATAGATAATAATAATAGATTGCATCGGTTAGCATCCAAAATTTGATACCCTATCTATGGTGCTTTTTATTAGGCAAATATGTCACTGCTGATCTACTTTTTGTGCCTACTAATGAATCTATGCTCAAATGCTGACTAGGTGAATAGTAAAGTTTGAATTTCTTATTTGCATGAGCAACAACAGGTTCAAATTTCGTTGCTGGATCATATTCATGGCTATATACCGTGCTGGTAAGGTGTTGTCCACATGAAAAAACTTGCAAAGTAATTGAAATCTATTCTGGCTAAACATTTGTCCAAACCATGGAATATATCTATGATTTGTTGACTAGTAATTAAAAATTGTAGATCTACAGGTAATTTCCATTTCAAGAACGGCTATGAAAGCTCTCAACTCTGGGATTGTGGTTTTCTTCCAGTCTACTGTTCTGGATCCATCTGGTACTTTGCTATTGGTGAAAAATATTGCGTAGCGATTTGTTTCAATTTTCAATTTGTCCAGAAATTCATGAATAAAAGATAAGTTGAGATAATCTATAGGTTTCGAATTGTTCGGTGGCATATGTTTAGGACCCGTGGTTTCCAAAAATAATGGGCGCTGATTATATTGTCTATCATTTGTCACAGTAACTTCATGGAAATTGTTCAAAGATTCCTCAGTATCACTATTGTTCTCTTGATCTTGCGATACTTCGCTAGTTTCACTGTTGCTATATATTCTACGAGAACACTGACGGTCCACGTTCTTGATCAATTCATCAGTGAATAATGAATTGAAATAATCTATAGGTTCTGTATAATTTGGATTTAGCTGTGAACCAGGGTTTCGTGATCCCGATCTGAATTGTATTTTTTCTGGAATGACATCCTGATTTGTCACATTCTTCCATTCATTGTCGCGGCTTGTATTCTTTTCATCAACATTTCGCTCATCATCACTGCTATTATCACTGGAAATATTGAAGCACCTGAACAAATTCCTTGATGTACGGATTTTTCACTTCCACTGTCTGAAGCAATGTCGTCGTCATCTTCCATCTTGTCAGATTGAAGATAATATTCGTCATCACTACGAATCATGATCGAACATATTCTCTCTGGATCTTTTAGACATCGTGTATAGGATGTTATAATGTATAAAATATATAAAAAGCTTGCTGCTTCGTCGGGTAGTGACACTGAGAGACTGAAATTCGTTCCGACTCTGCCATCATCATCATCTCACACCGTGAGTTTACATTATACAGAAGATGAGACTTCATCGCCAAGGATCTCTAATGTCTTTCAAAGGAAACGGGACTGTTTGGTCTATTATATGCGTATCTTATTCAGAAAGATAGAATTAGGCGGCTATTTGACGACATTCGACCGCAAAGGGCTAGGCTGACTTTACTAAT